TGACCATCATCTTGACAGTTTTACCTCTTAAATATCTCTATTATATGCTTACCCTCTTTATTTTGCTGACCTTATTCAGGCTACTTCAATCCTCCTGTGAAAAGCTACCAATGTCTCTTCATTGATATCTCTGCCTCTCTTCTCAGCCATCTTAAATTCTCTTCCAGCTGGAACCTGTTCAGTGACTGCACAGTGCTCCATGAAGTCATGGAGGGACTGCCTCTCCAGTCCCTTCTACCCTCCTTATCTACCTGCCAGCCAAGTGGGCCTTCTTGCTGCTGCTGTTACTTTCAGGTATCAACCTGTCTTTGCCTCTTGACCTTCACACATGCTGTTGTTTCTGTTCCTATTCTCTACTAGACTAATATAATTAATCCTGTAAGCCTCCACTCAAGTGTCCTTTTCCCCGGAAAGAGAGAAGCATTCCTTGAAGTTTCTACTGAGATGAGGTGCTTTCCCCCTCACCTCCATAGCTCCCTCAGACAAACTTCTGTCAGACCTTTTTTTTTCTTCTCCTGAATGATACTTTATTTCTTGCCCACTAATCACATCATGCTTAGAAGAACAAGTATTTTATGAATATTTATTTTATTTCTACATTTCAAGCGCCAAGCTTGGTATCAAGTGTGTAAATATTTTTCACTAAATGAGGTTTGATAATGAATGTGTCCATTTTGTGTATAAGTGTGTTTGAGTGTATGTCAGCATTAAAACATAGTAAAACAAGATGTAAGATACTCTTTAGTGTTATGTGCTCATGAGATACCAAGCAAACATGTTCTAGAGGAAGTCAGAAGTGGAAAGGTAGGCGAGAACTCCTGTTAGTGATTGTCCGCATGAGATCAGCCACATACTGCTTTTAACCTATATAATCAGAAATAATTTTCAGTGTAGTTTGTATAGAGCATTTTCATCTGTATAGTTAGGTGGTGTGAAGAATTTATAAGAAATACTGTAACTAAATGCATTTATATTTTCTTACCTATGTCAGATCTTAAAAAATTAGTTCTTTTAAATTATACAGCTTTTATATTTTTGTTTGGGTTTTCTTTACTAAGTTCAGGGATAAAAAAAAATGCCCACACATTTTAATGTATTTTAATGTAAATATTGTCGTTAAGTCAATGACCTGTAAGGAAAGATGAGGTATATTTTATGCTAATGTGAACAAAGGACCGTAGTAAAGATTAGGATACTTGTAAAACTCAGAACAGTTTTACAAGTAAAAAGCATGCATAATTCTTCAACTGAGTGTTTATTTGAGTACATGCTATGTGCCAGCCGTGCTCTAGGTACTGGGGATACTTCAGAGAAAAGACAGAAGTGTTCTTGTTCTCCTGGGGTTTACACCTTTGGGGAGGGATTACCGCCTTCAAATGAGTTAACTTGAAGATTACTTCAGCTAGCGGTGAGGGCTTGGAGATGACAGAACAGGCAGTAGAGAAAGCATCAGAGCAGTGGTGAGGTGGTGCCCAGAAAGGCCTCTGTGGGGAGGGGGCACTAGCAGTGAGAGCTGGATGGTGAAGTGGCACCGTCATACAAGACTGTGGGTGGATTCTGCCAATCCATTAGCATGGAATATTTTTCCATCTCTTTGTGTCTTTCTCAATTTCTTTCAGAAGTGTTCTATAGTTTTTAGGGTATAGATCCTTTACCTCTTTGGTTAGGTTTATTCCTAGGTATCTTATGCTTTTGGGTGCAACTGTAAATGGTATTGACTCCTTAATTTCTCTTTCTTCAGTCTCATTTTTAGTGTATACAAATGCCACTGACTTCTGGGCATTGATTTTGTATCCTGCCACACTGCCAAATTGCTGTATGAGTTCTAGCAATCTTGGGGTGGAGTCTTTTGGGTTTTCTATGTAGAGTATCATGTCATCGGCAAAGGGGGAGAGTTTGACTTCTTCTTTGCCAATCTGAATGCCTTTAATTTCTTTTTGTTGTCTGATTGCTGAGGCTAGGACTTCTAGTACTATGTTGAATAGCAGTGGTGAGAGTGGACATCCCTGTCTTGTTCCTGATCTTAGGGAAAGGCTCCCAGTGTTTCCCCATTGAGAATGATATTTGCTGTGGGCTTTTCATAGATGGCTTTTAAGATGTTGAGGAATGTTCCCTCTGTCCCTACACTCTGAAGAGTTGGATTGGCAGAATTAATATTGTGAAAATGTCAATGTTACCCAGGGCAATCTACACGTTTAATGCAATCCCTATCAAAATACCATGGACTTTCTTCAGAGAGTTAGAACAAATTATTTTAAGATTTGTGTGGAATCAAAAAAGACCTCGAATAGCCAGGGGAATTTTAAAAAAGAAAACCATATCTAGGGGCATCACAATGCCAGATTTCAGGTTGTACTACAAAGCTGTGGTCATCAAGACAGTGTGGTACTGGCACAAAAACAGACACATAGATCAATGGAACAGAAGAGAGAACCCAGAAGTGGACCCTCAACTTTATGGTCAACTAATATTCGATAAAGGAAGAGAGACTATCCATTGGAAGAAAGACAGTCTCTTCAATAAAAGGTGCTGGGAAAATTGGACATCCACAGGCAGAAGAATGAAACTAGACCACTCTCTTTCACCATACACAAAGATAAACTCAAAATGGATGAAAGATCTGAATGTGAGGCAAGATTCCATCAAAATCCTAGAGAACACAGGCAACACCCTTTTTGAACTCGGCCACATTAACTTCTTGCAAGATACATCCACGAAGGCAAAAGAAACAAAAGCAAAAATGAACTATTGGGACTTAATCAAGATAAGAAGCTTTTGCACAGCAAAGGATACAGTGAACAAAACTAAAAGACAACCTACAGAATGGGAAAAGATATTTGCAAATGACGTATCAGATAAAGGGCTAGTTTCCAAGATCTATGAAGAACTTATTAAACTCAACAACAAAGAAACAAACAATTCAATCATGAAATGGGCAAAAAAAAATGTGAGAAATCTCACAGAGGAAGACATGGACATGGCCAACATGCACATGAGAAAATGCTCCGCATCACTTGCCGTCGGGGAAATACAAATCAAAACCACAATGAGATCCCACCTCACACCAGTGAGAATGGGGAACATTAACAAGGCAGGAAACCACAAATGTTGGAGAGGATGCAGAGAAAAGGGAACCCTCTTACACTGTTGGTGGGAATGTGAACTGGTGCAGTCACTCTGGAAAACTGTGTGGAGGTTCCTCAAAGACTTAAAAATAGACCTGCCCTACGACCCAGCAATTGCACTGTTGGGGATTTACCCCAAAGATTCAGATGCAATGAAACGCCGGGACACCTGCGCCCCCGATGTTTCTAGCAGCAATGTCCACAATAGCCAAACTGTGGAAGGATCCTCGGTGTCCATCGAAAGATGAATGGATAAAGAAGATGTGGTCTATGTATACAATGGAATATTACTCGGCCATTAGAAATGACAAATACCCACCATTTGCTTCAACATGGATGGAACTGGAGGGTATTATGCTGAGTGAAATAAGTCAATCGGAGAAGGACAAACATTATATGGTCTCATTCATTTGGGAAATATAAATAATAGTGAAAGGGAATAGATGGGAAGGGAGAAGAAATGGGTAGGAAATATCAGAAAAGGAGACAGAACATAAAGACTCCTAACTCTGGGAAACGAACTAGGGGTGGTGGAAGGGGAGGAGGGCGGGGGGGTGGGGGTGAATGGGTGACGGGCACTGAGGGGGGCACTTGATGGGATGAGCACTGGGTGTTATTCTGTATGTTGGCAAATTGAACACCAATAAAAAATAAATTTATTATTAAAAAAAAGTCTGTGGGTGGAAAAACATCTAGACCCTTCAAGGAGTATGTGCCATTTAAAGTCACCCACATTTGACGAAGTTTACCTGTTGTGCCTTTTCTCAGTAGATGTTCTTACATGTTCATTATTATCAAATGAGAGCAAATGAAGTAATATATATGTTAACTGACCCAGTTGGGAGGTTAAGACAAGAAAATTCAATGAAATAAAACAAAACCTCAGGCTGGCTCAGATGGAGGAGGCAGTTTATTAGCTACCTGGAAATATAACTTATTCAGGGCTCTGGATATAAAGTTTTTACCTTCATCTTTCAAAATATTAGAATACTAGCCTAGATAAACCTAGGATGAGGATTTTTCATGGTAAAATAGTGATGTGTTATCCAATACCAAGAAATTTATTTTGATACTTTTTGAATTTCCGTATTTTTTAAAATGGTGGCTGTAGATAAAGTACAAAGAATCTTATGACCCAAGAGTAATGTGCCAAAACTTAGTTTAGAATGGGGAAAGAAAAGAAAAAGGTTTTTTTTTCTTTAAAGCTGCTTTAATAGCCAAATACTCTTGTATATCATAAATTCTTTATTGTGTCTTCCCCTGTGTGTGTCGGGGGAAGGGGGTGAATTCCTAACTGGGATCCTAAACTTATTTTTAGTTGTTAATTTCAAGAAATTCTTGGCAGTAATTTCATTTTATTATTTCACTGTATGTTCATGGTCTTATCTTCTTTGTTGTTCATCTTTTCCTCCCAACTCTGGCCTTTGTCCAGAGACTAATAATGATGATATTGGAGAGGGTAAGTGGAAGGTGGAAAAGCAGAAACCTGGGGAATCTGGCATTTGAGAAATTACTCTTTTAATATGAACTTAAGCAATGGCTATGATTTAATTAACGATAAAATGATCATTTTAGGTTTTTTTTCTCCTCCTTTTTCTTGTTTTCCTTTAGGAGGAATTAAACTTAGGACAGTGATCCCTTTAAGGCACTCAGGGAAGGAAGGTTGCTTGGGGCAAGTAAAAGACTGTCCCATGGGCTACAGGGTCAAGTGTGCTACTTATGTTATTACAAATGGTTTCTTTTCTTTTCTGAAATATATATATACACACACACACATATATATATGTATATATACACACACATATATAGTATTATTATGAAATGTGTAGATAATTTTCTGTTTATATCTTATCAAATTTTAAATTTGTTTTATAGAAAATACTGCAATTTCTACCTGAACGAATTTTCTTTCGATGGCATTACCAGAGTATAGGTAAGAACAATTTAAAGATTTCTAAAGTGATACAGATTTTTTCCAGCTGAATTTTCAGTAAGGTTTAATATAATTAGCACCATTGAGGAATGGTAACAAGGATATGCTAGGTAAAAGTAAGACAAGTCCAACCTGGACTTTGGAGGAAAATATAATATCTATCCTTGCTGTACAAATACTACTTACAGAGATTGGTTCATAGACCAGCAGCATCAGCTTCACCAGAGAGCTTATTAGAAGATGCAGAATGTGAGGCCCCAGCCAGAACTACCAAATCACAGTCTGCATTTTTAACAAGGACCCCAGGGAATTCCTGTGCACAAAAATTGAGAAACACTTGATCTGGAGTATTTTTCTTAAGTAACTTCATTTTTTCTCACAAACATATCTTGTTCTTCAAGACTTTATCACTGATTCAGTTATTCTGTTTGAGTGCATTAGGGTGTGGCAGCAGGAGGGAACTTGAGGTATAGTGAAGTTACCATGGCTGCCCTTTCTGTGCCACTCTTGACATCGAACAATGTTTCCTCTCAATTTATTTTTTTATTTTTATTTATTTATTTTAAAGATTTTATTTATTTATTAGAGAGTGAGAGAGAGAGAGAGAGAGAGAGAGAGCGCACTCACAGAGGGAGAAGGTGAGGGAGAAGCAGACTTCCCACTGACCAGGAAGCCCTATGTGGTGCTCAGTCCCAGAACTCTGAGATCATGACCTGAGCTTATAGCAGCAGATGCTTAACTGACTGAGCCACCCAGGTGCCCCTCCTCTCAATTTAATATTCATGGCACAACCAATGTAATTTGTGGTATCAACTGTGAATCCTTTCTGTTTAAAGCGTGGCTGATTTGGTCCTTCCACCTTAGACAACTGACAGTTCTCCCATTTTTCCTTCTTGCCAAATGATCATATTGAGGAGAGCATAACTTCATAATGGAATTTTAACTCTCTGATCATTCATTCATTCAAATACTTATTGAGGGAGACACAAAGTTCTGGAGCAGAAACAAAGAATAACTCACCATTCTTGTATAAGCTGATTGCTGGGCTGGGGGATAGCTGAGAAAAATATAATTACACTATGAAAAGTGTAACGGTAGCAACAAATAAAAGCTGAATAATTCTATTGACAGGGCTTGACAAGATATCAAGACAGATAATCTCTACCTGAGCCTTGAAATATGAGTGTAGAAAGGGTTTTCTAGATGGGAGATCAGTATGTGAAAGACCTGGGACCTGAAAGAACATGACATATTTGATGGATATTTCAAAATTTAGAATCCCAAATTTAATTTAGTACTGTTTATATGAAAAATATAACTGACCCTTCTATAAACTGAACTTTGAGTAAGTATGTGTAATAAGTACATAAATCTGCTGAACTGAATGATTAAATCATTACTTAAAGGTAGATGACCATGGGGTCTTTAAATCTTTCAAACACATAAAGAAGGTTTTCCTTTAAATTATAGAGTTAATGATAGCATTTCTGTTAATTGATACTTCGACCTTGTGTATTTAGAGTAAAAATTTAAAAATCAAATGATAAGTATAATCTGAAGAGGAATCGTAGGGATTTGTAATGCTTCATGGTATAGCAGAAATGGATGAAAATGATAAATAATTGCGTGTGGTATTTTTTATTTATGCTAGATATAATCCATTTTGTTTATGCCATATGTATGAAAATGATACTCCTTTTCTACAGAGAGTACTTTAAGATGTCTGAAGATTGGCACCGTCAGCTTGAATAAACTTACTAGAACTGGGTATAGAAATTCATTTGCTGTTTGTATTATGAAATTTATGCATCTAGTAGGTGTATGGTATTACCTTAATTCTGGCTACTGTTACCACATGGACTGGTTAAGATTGCAGGTACAAGTAACTTTTTACCAAGTTTAATAGTGTCTGACCAAGAACAGTGACTCTTGGATTGGGGTTGCAGAGTACTAGTCCCCTGAGCCAGCATAAGAGCAGGTGCTGTTTATCTAGTGTGTAAAATAAGCTACTTTATCTAGTATATAGAATAAACTGACTCTATAACACAGAATGAATCATGTTTCATTTTGCTGAAGTATGAGCATTTGCATATAAAATCATCCTTATTATTGATGCTTATATACTTAATACTTGAATCAAACAGGCTGTTTTCAGATAAATGTATTTTTTCATGATATATCAAACTGGGTGGAAGTTGGTGGTTAGACAGATCCACATCCCTTTATGATGATCTTCAGGCTAAATGTACTTTGGAATCAGAATTTTTCAGATTTTATTTTTTATTTTATTTTTTAAAAGATTTTATTTATGAGAGAGAGAGAGAGAGAGGCAGAGACACAGGCAGAGGGAGAAGCAGGCTCCATGCAGGGAGCCCAACGTGGGACTCAATCCCGGGTCTCCAGAATCACAACCTGAGCTGAAGGCGGCACTAAACCGCTGAGCCACCCGGGCTGCTCTTTCAGATTTTAGAATGGCACTGTGGTGTGTTGATGTTCAGCAAACATTAATACAGTGTTGATGTCCATATATAACACCCAGGAGACTGGACAGTACCCTGTAACCAAGAGAATTCTTATATAAGAATTATATAAGAGATATATCTATGTATTATCTCTTAGGCTAAGATATGAATATTCATCATCAGTAGAATAACTAAATCCAACAGTCTCAGGTTAGTCGGGGCCTGCCACCACGTGCATTCAGATTCAGATCAGGTCCTGTCCACTAGTAAATTACGCACAATAAGCTTTAGTTTTCATAGCTTTTTGGATTTGGAAATTGCCAGTAGTGGATTATGGATTTGTAACTCTACACGTTTTCTTAACAGACCTCATTATTCTCAGTTTATTGGATTTGTTAAAATGGTTACCATTTGTCACTCAAGGTCTTGACCAAGTTAGTTACAAAAACTAAGAAAGTATAAGGAAGCACCAGATTTAAAGGGAAAAGAATGTGCCTTAAATATTTCCATAGCATCAGTGTTGTCTTGATTTCTGCAAAACCCCTTGAGGCTAGGACAAGAAGCTTATCAATAGTTGGTGCCAGGCATTCTAGGTATCTAATATTCCTTATTTTAGCTGTTTTATAACCTGTATATATAATAATATTTCATATCTAAAATGAAGAATACTACTGTATAAACTTCTTAATAAAATGTTACTGTGGCTAGTAGTGGCCAAAGTACTGGGTCCGAGCCTTGAAGCTGGATTTACACAGCACTGATTGGGTATGCTTCCTGCCCCACACTACAAATAATGTCCCTTAGTGTATAGAAACCTAAAATAAGAGCAACTCCTATATTCTGCAAGTCTTAAAAAAGTTCTCAACCATCTCTAGATGCCAGGTTTTATACAGAGAAAGAAGAAATTAATTTGAAATATCAACTGCCACAATGTTTGAAGTCTGTATATTATCTGCCATCTTGTTTTGTCAGTAGGAAAGAGAGAGGTTCGGTTTCTCTCAAAGCTGGTTTTGGAGGGAGTTAATACTCTGTACGTTTCTCTTTGCTTAAGGATTTTATGGCTGGTTCCTTGCTATATATACGCCATTGAATGAGGAAGCCTATATGAACTCTACGTTTTGTAATGTGAAATGAACACCATGCATTATTCCAGGCATCTGAGGGTTGGAGAGTAAAAAGATTAGGGAAGTGGCAACAAAATACTCACCAACTCACCAACTGTGATATATGCAACCTGCTACTCAAATGTAAATTCCCATTATTAATTACAAATGGGAAGATTTTTCCTAAAGTCAGTTTTAGACCAATAAATCATGGTAGACAAGGGTGGCCACTTGAAGCTTTATTTCTGTAATAATGAGAGCTGACAGGATGAGAGGAGATGACAAAGAATGGCACATCAGTAAACCAAGGATATTTGCTGCAGGGGCAGGCTGTGACCCTCTTCCATGTGCCCATGCATTATCAGTACAGAACTCAAGTTATCTGTGTTCACTTTAAGAGGGTTTACTGCTCATGAGCTTCTAGAGAGCAGATTTCCTGTTCCATTCAGTGTATAGGGCTGTGCCTATATGCAATAAATGTTTGTTGAGTGAGTGGAAGGTTTTATTTTGTACTAGAGATGTTTTATATCAAAAGTGTTCAAAATAAATAGCCCTTGGGCTTAAAGGAGTGGGCTCAAGTGGTGGAAAATTCACACAGTACCACATATGTGTTTTTTTATATGAGTCATTATTAATCTAGTTTGTTCAACCAGCTTCTTACACATGATATAAGAAACAGTGCCTTATTAAACTACAGATTGGTTTATGACTTTTTAAGAGTATCCCTTGCTTTATGCCTTGGGCTACCCTGTGTCCTGACAGTGCTTGGGATGTGAACACAACCTCCAAGCAGCCTTATTTCTCAAAGTTTCTACAGCTCATTGAGCTTTAACTACTCCTTGGGACCCCGAGCCTGATAGCCTTCCCTGGGTCCCTCATAGTCAGGACACCACAGCTTTCTCTTCCCGAGGAAACAAGGTCTCCTGTGCACCTTACACTAGGACTCCCTCAGAGGTGCATTGCAGCCAGGCTAAGCTATAGGGACCCTGCATGCCTTCGTGTCCACCAGGGGATGGCTGAGCCTAATTCCCCTTTGGCCCATTTTGTGTCTTCCCAGGCTCCTCTCTGGGGTGCTTTCATCATCATTGCCCTGCATTTCTAGCCCTCCTTCCCACTTTGTACTCAGCCCTCTAGAAATCCTCTTATAGGGTTAAGCCACAGCCTTAGAGCCTCAGCCTCTTGGTGTCACCTCCTTGGCTATCTGAAACCTGGCTTTTCTCTCAGGTTTCTTTGTCTCTCTCAAGGCTGTGGGAGTGAGATCATGGTCTTTCTTTTCTCCAAGGCCCATTCCAAACCTTCTCCACACCCCCTCTGTGGAAACCTCTCCCTTGACTATGCCTTGTCTCTCCTTGTTGCCACCATGTCTTCTGATCTCCAGCTTACCTACCCCCCCCTTTTTAAAAAAGCTATCTCCCAGTTCTTTTCCTTCATGCCA